GATCAGCGGGACATGCGGGACATTGAAATTTGTATTAGATAAAAATAAAGAATTCCTTCTTTATTTATAAGATAGATAGATTTTTTTTTCTAAGCGGGACATGCGGGACATGCGTGACATGAAATTTTTTGTTTTAGTCATACTATTCCAAAAAGGTGTTATTTGCTCGACCAGAATGGCCGACGGTCATGTGACAATTATTAATTTTCTCATACATGTTTTCTTGTGTTATCAATGGCAAATTAAATTTTTTATTACATGTTAAATTGATTGATCCGATTTTCATTAAACAAAATGTATGTCGAACCCAGAATTTAAATTTTGAAGACATCTACATCTTCAGAGTTTAAAACTTTCATCATTTTGTAATACATGTCATTGTTAATCATATATTTTTCTCTTCTTTTTTCATCAAGATTATTGATGTATGACTTTAATTTCGAAATAAATATTTCTATGAAATTTAAATTTGATAATTTAAAATGAAACAACACATGAAATAACTTAATTAAAAAAGTTATCATAGCGATATCACTAAATCTTTGTTTCGTAGGAAAGAACCTCTACTAAGAAAACATAAAAGGGACAAATGATGGTGACACATAGATTTCATGCATAAAAATATTTTCGAATACAAGCTTTTATAAATTGTTTATTTATTAATATCAATCTAATACAATTTTTATAAACATCATCTATATATAACTTTAGAAATACAAAAAAAAATGAAATAGTCTTTTGTAAAAAGAAAATAGTATGAATATCATAATTTTTATAAAAAGGCATTCATAATATTCTAATAATATTCAATTTGAATCAAATAGATTTATTGATGAAGAAAACGATTTTATTTCTATTCTCTCTTTTTTTTCTATTTTCAAATCTCTATTTAGGTTTAATTTTATTTTTTCTTTTTTTTTCTATATTTTTTTCCGCGCATTCCAAACTCAACTAAATTCCCATATCAACTGTGACATATATATTACATTGGTTTGTTATTGTAGTAGATAGATAGATTAAATAGTGATGCATTTTCTTTTTCTATCGATAGAGATATGAAGAATTTTCATATAGTTTCATTTTGTTTCTGGAACTGTTTGCTAATAAAAACAAAACAACTAAACAAATTTAATTTGATTATGATTATGCATGTTTTTCTTTTAGAAGAAAAAAAAGACAATGGCTTCATCTCGTTTATTCAATAATATCGGTAAGATATTGAGATAATATTTTATTTCGATAGAAGAATTTAGTGTTTTAGGAAGAATTGGTATTGGTTTAGCTATTGCTGGTGGTGTGATTAATTCTATGCTTTATAATAGTAAATATAAAAAGATTAAAAAAAAACTTGTTTTCTTTAAATATAAATATATTCTAGTTGATGATGGTCATCGAGCTGTTATTTATGATCGCTTTCAAAGTGTTAAACTAGATGTTATTGAAGAAGGAACTCATTTTATGATTTCATGGCTTCATAGACCAATTATATTTGATGTTCGTACACGACCACGATCTGTTCCATCAATAACAGGAACAAAAGATATAAAAGCTAGAGAAAAACAGTCAACTTCAGGAGATAGGTAAGCATAGGAAACTTCAGTACCGAAAATGTAGACTCGCGAAAAACTGAAGGTAAATACAATGTTTATTGAACTATCAATGAATGTATACGGCTGAGGTATCTTAAAAATTTTGCTGCTATCAATGGTGACTCGCCTGAGGTCTCCATTATTTCCTCTTCGTATAAATGAAAAAAGCATAAATTATATTTTATTATTTATTATTTCAGATTTACAAACAATTAATATAACATTACGTATTCTTTATCGAGCAAGAGCTGAACTTTTACCAAAAATTTTTTGCAAATTTGGGTTTAGATTATGAAGAACGTTTGTTACCATCAATTACTAATGAAATTTTAAAATCTATTGTAGTAAGTCTCAGATATTTTGTTTTTGTTACTATGAATAATTAAATTGATTATTAGACTCAATTTGATGCTATTCAATTGATTATACAACGTACACTTATTTCCCAATGTGTTAGTGAATTAGTCACAGAATATGCTGTTCAATTTGGTTTATTACTTGGTGTTATTTCAATTGTAAGATGCAACAAAAAAAGTCTCGAGTTGATTATATCTATATTTTTTTTTTAAATTAGACGCATTTAAGTTTTGGACCTGAATTTACAAGCGCTGTTGAATTAAAACAAGTTGCACAATAGGATATTGAAAAAGAACGATTTTTAGTCGAAAAAATAAATGAATAATAATAAAATTTGTATGATTTTTTCGATAAAAAACAACAGGCTGAACAAAGTCGTCAAGCAAATGTTATTGCAGCAGAAGGCGTTGCTCGTACAGCTGATTTGATTGGCAAAGCTTTAGATGAAGCTGGTGATGGTAAATTTTCGAATGTCTTTTATTATCTTGTCTTACTTTTGTTTTAATATTCATGTTAGGTTTTTTTGTTCGATTAAAAAAAAAAGAAGAACAGATCAAAAATTCTCTAGATGACATTAAAGTTTCGAATACGATTGAAATGATGAATTTCAATAATCTCTTTCGACATTTTATATTAACTCAATCATTTGTACGTGGTTGGGCAAATTCATTTCATTTACAAGAAATTTTTACCTATCGACGTGAAAAAATTGATGTAAGAGGCGAATGTTTAAAACTTGTATCAGCTGAAAATGTACAACAAAATACTGTTGAAATAATTAAACAAGAAATAAAAAGCAATCAAAATTATACAAATGCTCGATTTCGTTCACCATTTGCCAATTATTTACTACATTTGGTAGGAAATTAAAATCATTTTAATCATTTAATTAATATTATCTTTTTTTCTTTTGTTATATTTATGTGAATAGGTTTCACCTCAAGTAGCTACAGCTCATTTTCAACTTGTTTTATCATGTGATCATCGTTTTGGTATTGATTCAATTCCAATAGGAATTTGTTATGCTGAAACAGAGGTAATCATGGTTTTAGTCAACGAAGGCTACTTACTGCAGTTTCATTAATTAGTCAATATCGTATAGGTTCAATTCTTCTTGAAAATTCATATTACGGTTTAAGAAAACCACCAGATCAATCTCGTTCATCATTATTGTATGTTACTGATTTATATATTATGGGTAAAGCACTTGTTTTAGAAACATTTGTATTACTTCATTAGTGTCAAAAAAATGAAATTAACATAAGCTATTCTACATGGTTTTTCTCTTGGTGGACATATGGCTTCATTAGCATTAACAAAGTAAGATTCAATTCTATTATTTGATCTATTTAATGAATGGACATACAGTATCTATCATAATTTTAAATAATGATTCAAGTAGAACAAACCATATTACAAAAAGAATATAAATTAAAAACATTGATTATTTGATTCCCTAAGTTAGGATTTTTTTAGACAACCCAAAAGCCTAATTTCTCAGTATCTAGTACTTGAACTCTCTAGGATGGTTTTTTATTGAGTAAAAGTTGAATAATTTTGGTAGTCATTGTGTATATATTTATATTTTAGATGGCATGATCTACCTTGTCGACAATTCTATGAAAATAAAGCCTCTCAAACATTTTATGATTATTTACGTGAACGAAATTGATCAATAGATTCAAATAAAATTGTTCTCGATCTTATTAAAGATATGATGCGTCTTCTTATTGATGAATTTACATCTTTATATAATTATTCATGTTCAGTTCAATCAAATATATCTAATGCTATGTTTATTGCTGGTACACATGATGGTTATGTATTACGTGATGGTATTCCACATATGAATGATGTATGGCCTGGTATTCATATTCGATATATTCCTCATGGACATGTTAGTGCATTTTTATTTAATCAATCAGGCTTTCATCATGCTGCTGCTGCTAAAATGTTACAACGACAAGAGTCAAATGTAAAACTAAAAAAACATCTAATCATATCACCAATTTCTGTTACCACACCTAAAAATTTGTGAAGATATATATTTTTTTCATATAGATATTCTCTCGAAAAGTATCAAATATTTCCTAGTTTTTGTGTTATGATTTGAATAATAACTCAGAGAAAAGAAAAATTTTGATCAAATATAAACTAGATAATATATTAATCATTTTGTTTTTTTAAATATAATTTGTATGACTCTGGTAAAAACATGAG